GGCACGTATGGATCCATTTGTGATAGCGCAGTCATCTTAAGCCGAGTTCGCACGCTGAAAGTGCACGAAAATCTATGGCTTTGTAACGCAATTAGTGGTTAAGTATCTTTTTGGAGAGAGTAACGGGCACGTATGGATCCATTTGTGATAGCGCAGTCATCTTAAGCCGAGTTCGCACGCTGAAAGTGCACAAAAATCTATGGCTCTGTAACGCAATTAGTGGTTCAGACAACAGAACATTCAGATGAACGAGAAATCAATTAGAAATGGGGGAAAATTATTTATTTTTTTTTTTCCAAAGGTACTTGTACACTGGAAAAAAAACGCACTGGATCTAGCGTCCAGACTCTTGAAAACATCGACAAGAAAACAGACTCTTGATTCAAGCAGATTTAAGCTTAAATCAAAAGGAAATCCGCTCAAATTAAGAGGCTTGGTTCTTGATTTAAGCTTAAATCTGATTGAATCAAGAGTATTCTTTCTTGTCGATGGAGTCTGGACTCTATGTCCAACGTGTTTTTTTGTTTCCAGTGCATAATCGATACGCGCTGGCTAAAATGCCCGTGGGATGCGGCAGGATGTGCGGTGATTGTAGCGATTCTGCCATTCGGTGGAGAACATCATGTTTAATTTTCAGTGGTTGGTTCGGCTTGAATTTCGCTGAAAAGATATGCTTCTCTTCAAGGGGCACAGTACACTTTGACTGGGTTACATTAAACCAGTCAATTTTGTGATTATTTTTATCGTCATTCCAGCTGGAAATGAACCTGCGTCGACTCGAACTATATCTCCTTCTTGAGGCGCTCTTTTCTCTTACATTTTCCGGCGGAGGGGGGGGGGCGTTTAGTAGCTGCATATCTCTCGAGGGCAAGTGGACGTTTTAAGGGCATCAGGATATCAGGAACTTACGTCACCATTAGCGGTTCGAGGGGGGCAGGGGGTCAAACATTCCAAATTCAACGGCATGAATGAAAATTATCCTTTAGTTTGAGTTAATATTTTCCTTTTTATTTATTGAACTGTTGTTTCTTCAGGGTCTGTTTCCAACAGCACCAAGGGTTTGAATAGCGCTTCGAGGAGGCAGGGGGGTCGAAAAATTCCTAATTAAACGTTACGTATTTTCTACAATACCCCTCCCCCGGCGTACTCTGGAGTCGGTAAATTGCGCCGATTTTGGGGTAAATTGCGCCGATACAGAAAAAGACGATTGGTAAATTGCGCCGAAACTGAAAATCGTAAAAAGTAAATTGTGCGCCGATCTGATAAACGGAAATGGTAAATTGCGCCGATCTGAAAAACGGAAACGGTAAATTGCGCCGATTCCATCGTTTTTCAGGGGGTTTGGCAACACTGCCGATCAGCTCGGAATAAGTAAGTGAAACTATAAGCTTACCATCATATTATTTCTTTGCTGAACTTAAGTGCGCATGGTATGAGGCTTTTTTGACGAATTCGTACCGCGGCAGTTCACCTTTCCAATACCGATTGAGAAGGTCTTCAACTCTCTTCTGTTTTGCTTTCACGATTTCTCTAGATCGGCGCAATTCTCAATTACCCTTTTCCTAAATCGGCGCAATTTACCAGCTTCCGCGTACTCGTCGTCTTAGATTTTACTCATCCATGATCTTTCAGTTATATTAATGAGTGCGAGGGCACAGTTCCCCGGGCTGAGGCTGCCGCAGGAATGGGCCGCAGCCTCCCCTTTCCTCCCCCGCTCATGACTCGAAGTTAATGGCATTCAGGAACGTCGCGGTGTGACGTCGTCGTGTGCCGTGCTGTTTGTCACCGCGTGGTTGACGTCCGGCTCTCCTCTTTTGGCCTCGGCCCGGTCCCGTGTCAACATCCCAAGAGCGCATAATTTCACACCCACCCACCCCACGGCGCACAGCGGATCGGGTCAATGGGAGAGGTCGGACAAAGTATTTCGAACTCATAGGTGGGTAATTTTAAGATAATTTTTCAAGAAAATAGAAGGAATTTCCGAGTTCCTCTGGAAGCAGAAACAGTCAGCGAAAGGATGGTGGAGCCCTGATTTTCCTGCATGGAGTTGGAAAAACGAACAATCGATTTGGAAACTCTCAACGCCTTTTATTTTTAATTGATAAACCACATTCAGTCCTTGACTTACGCATCTCAGTTACAATTCTTCATTATCCTCAACATTCCTACATAATTATACATACTACAAAATACAAGTGAAAAAAGACAAAGATAAACAGGTTGTTTAACGGCTTGACAGTGGGAGCCAGGAGCCATCGGTATCATGAACACCCACTGTGAAGTGGTAGCACGCGAAGATGCGTTTTGTTCAGTTTAAGTGGACCATGGTTACTGCTTTGATGCAACACCCCTGTACTGCCATGCTAAGGAAAAACGCCGTACGAACCTTCAGGCGTTGCCAAATTTCCTTTAATAAAACGCAAATTTCCTGGTAAACTTATGAATACCCTCCGTCCAATTTTTCAGACAATTTCATTCGCAATTTCTCGTAAAGACCCTGAAATTGTCTAGGAAAAATATTTGTATCTTTCCTCCAAAATGAGCATTTTACCGCGGGATATTTGGCAACTGTCGAATGTTCATACGGCGTTTTTCCTTAAGACGGCAGGGTAGCCAAGTCGAAGGGCTCTACCTTTCGCAGCCTCCTGCTGGGGTCGTTGCCGAGTGCTCGCTGAGCTAGCGGATTAGGGTGTGCGCCCAGTCTCGTGTGGTGGCGCACTGCCGCTCTTTCAATTACTTCTTTCACTGACTCAACTCTCAACTCCTCTCTGATTTGCTCATTTGTAACAAAGCATGGGGCCCCGGCAATCTGTCTCAATACCTTGCTTCGGACCAGAACGATGGCCGCGCCAGGTCGAGAAATACGCTTGCAAATGGCGGCCCTCCTTAACCGCCATGCGAGCAAGTGGACTGCTAACAGATCAACGGGGAACAGCTAAGTAGGATGGATATTACACGGAAGAGATCGAAATACGTCACGCAAGCGTAAACAAAACATGGCGCAGACACCGAATGCGTATCGCCAGGTGTTACATCAGCAGAACAGGAAGAGCGGGAAATTTGAAATATATAGTGATAGAATGGGGAAAGTGACGACACGAGGGACCACTGGCCCTTTAAATGGGGGACAGAAACCATAAAAAATGAGAGCAGAGTAGTTATTATATGGCGGTGAATACCGGACATAGGCAGTTTTTGACCTTGAAAAGTTCATAGACCTTTAGCGTATGGCAGTGAATACCGGACATAGGCAGTTTTTGACCTTGAAAAGTTCATTGACCTTTAGCAAAAGTTGACCTTGTAGTATTCATTCATAAAGTTCATTCATACATTTATGCATAAATTAATTCATAACATTCACATTGCAGTCATACATTTTTAATGAAGATTTTGAAAGTTCAATGATCTTTAAATTATGAAGGAACTAGTATGTTAATTAAGTAAATGCGATGCAAACGTTGGTATGTAGAAAAACTCCCCCCCCCCCAAAAAAAATTTAATTATTTGTTATTGTGATAAGACAAGAAAATAGGGGCAGAAATTTGAATATGAAACATTGAAATAGTGATAAGGTGAGTGTTAAAGTGTTGTAATGTTCGTCCGGAAACGAAGTTAGAGATAATCGAGAGAGAGCCGTGCAAGCGGCAATGTTATTCGGATGGAAGACCTGTATGTCTAGACGACATGTCCAAATATGGAAGTTACCTTGAAATTATGCGCGAGAGATCCGTTGCATCGGCAGGGGTGCAATTTCAAAGAGCGGGAGAGGTATGCACAAGTCTGCTATGAACAAAGGGTACATGCTTGCACCATGAAAAATGATTGGGTTTTTCGAAAGAGGATTTGATATTTCGCTAAAAAAAAACAACTATTTTACATACATAGAGTTAAGTGATGTAATGTGTGTCGGTAAACGAAGTTAGAGAAAAATTGGAAGAGACAGGGAGAGAAAATCACCGAATGCGTATCGCCAGGTGTTACATCAGCAGAACAGGAAGAGCGGGAAATTTGAAATATATAGTGATAGAATGGGGAAAGTGACGACACGAGGGACCACTGGCCCTTTAAATGGGGGACAGAAACCATAAAAAATGAGAGCAGATAGGAGAGAAGGCTTCATATTAACGAGAGAACGAGCTGAAGAGTGAAAACTGGAACATGAAACAGGTGAACATGGAAAATCCTGAATTTGGCTAGGATAGCTGTGCATGACATGATGAGCATTGAGCATAGAGGGCACGTCGGACAATCCTTTTGCCAAAGAAGGAGACAGGAAAGTCCTACGCACAATTCGCTACAGCTCATAAATCCAAATGAAGACCAGTTCTCTCCGCAATTTGCACGTTGAATTCGTGGAACGCTCTCCGAATGAAAGAGAAAGGGCAGGGGGGCACTGACTGCGAGAAACTATGCAATCAAATTACTTGTAGCTGATTACGTAGAGGGTGGCTACGTTTGATGGCTTTCTTATCAAGGGGAAAACGAGGAAGGAAACGAAGGAGAAAAAATCGGGGGGAGACCGAAGGGGGAGGGGGCCGAACGGACGAAGCAAACGGCTCCGTATCTAGTTTCGGCTGCGTCGCAAAACAAAGGACACTGCACCGGTAGCGCACGGTGGGAGGGCGATTGGTCGACGGGAGATGGGCGGAGGGGGGGTTCACGGAGGACTGACGACTACGGGTACGGGAGGAGGGGGGGG